TTTTATTTATAAAGTATTATTTTTTAAAAAATTTTTTAATATTATAAAGAAAATTATTAAATATTCCATTATTTTCAAGTTAAATGTACATATATTTTTAAAATTCTGAAACTAATAGGTTAAGAATAATCTACAATTGATTTGGTAATTTATTTATTTTTTTTTGAATATTAAATATTAAATTACAATATAAAATCGTGAATAATTTTTTTTTATAGATTATATATTGTTATTAAAAGATCTATATAATAATAATTTTGTCCAAAATGAACAGAAATGATAAATAATTTATTAATTTTATTATATTTTATATAATAATAAAAATATATTATTTTCCTATTTTAAAATAATTATTAAAATAAAATAATTTATAATAAATACCTATGATCTACAAAATTATATTTTATTTCTATTTTTTATTTTTATGTATTACATATTATATTTTATTTTAATTTTTTATATATTATACATTATATATCATATTATATAATAAATTGGTTACTTTATATCATTTTTTTTATTAAATTTTAATTACAAGATAATTATATTATATATATTTTAATAAAGAAAGATTTATATCTAAATACAATTTACATGTTATATAAAATTAGATTTATTGTAAAGTTATAATATATTATTGCACTATGTTCTTTTAAAGTTATTTTTATACGCAAATATTTTTTATATATTTTGTATAAATTAATTTCTAATGAAATAATACTATGTACAATGATAAAAAATATAATTCTTTTTTAATTTTTGAAAATTTAATAATTTGAAATATTAAAGAAGTAAAAAAAAAAGAAAAGAAAAACCAAAAATGATTTTAATTGAATATATATGTACATAATTATTTATATAAAATTTATATTATACATAATTATAATAAATTTTATTTTGTATAATAATAATTTATAGAATAATTTTTTTTTTAGAAAATAAAAGACATGAAATCAACTATATAAATGGAATCTATGGAAACAGGACTGATAAAATCAATATATAAATATACACATATAAATATATTATTAACAGAATAATACAATATTTATTTTTTTTTTACCTTACAAGGAGATC